GCACCACCCCACACCCCCTATACTCCCCACCCTCCACACCCCTCTCCACATCCCCACAACACACAAGAGTAAGACTTTATTTTGAGCTATTATCCAATCGCCCCTATATATACTACTCAAAGAAACATACATCGGGACAAATCTTTTTTGAAATAGAATTAAAATATGTCATAGTAGATGTTTGATTTTTAGTATATGATTTGTTTTCTATCTATAATTTGTTAAAATGATATCTTTTAAAAGACTTTTTGTGCGTGACTCTCGACAGCTCAGCAAAACTCATTAAGTGGCCCTTCAGAAGAAATAACTGCCCACTCCTGAGCTAGGCCCTACGTACAGGTGACAGTTTGGGGCTCTTGGCACTCAGGGCCCCATGTCCCATGCAGTCTCTGAAGTCCTGAACCTGTAGGAGAAGGAGCAGCTTATCTCTGCCCTAACCTGGCACCTCCCTTCATGCAGCTGATCCAGGGCTACAGAATGAGGCACAGAGTAATGCAGCAAACAGAAGAATGGAAGTTTCCACTGCACTGGGAAGAAGCAAAGCAATGCTGGCACCAAAAGTGACTCTGCAGCTTGGGACAAGTTACTTCCCTGCTCTGTGCCTCAGTTTCCCCATCAAACAGTAATACAGATGACTTGCAGAAAAGGCCACTGCAAGGTTTTAATTGAGTAGTTTAAATCAACTTTGATAAGCATTTTGAATGCGTCAGGTACTATTATGCGGAGCAGTCTTGAAAAGTTCTGATTTGCTTTCTGGCGCATCAAAAGGAAACATTTTGTTTTCAGTCAGACTGACGCAAATCAAAACATCCGGGTTGTAAAATGAAATGGAAATGTTTAATTTCAAGTCAGTTCAACCCTAATCTGTGGCTGCCTGAGCTACTGCAATGCCTGATGGGTACCTATAATTTGGTAAGCCTCTCCTGGGTGGGCCTCCCTTACCAGCCCTAGACATCTCCCATGGTTTACTAGAGGCTGCTCCCCTGCTGAACAAACATAAGGCCTCAAGGATTTGTGTTTCCATCTCCGTTTAGAGGAAAAGCTCATTTAAAAGCATTGGCATGTCTCTCGGGATAGAAATTCCAGTTGTCAGCCAGCTCGAATATTTCCCACAATGCCTTAGGGAACGGACCTGCAGCATGGGTGTCACAAGTATGGCTAGATGTACAC